ATATATATAACATCAAAAAGCAATGATAGCAAATTTTCTTTTAAAGTGACCATGAAATTGTAAGTCTTTGGTGGTACGAACACTTAATACCCTTGGTTACTAAATGAGAAATTGACAGTTCAAGTGCATCCATTGGCTCCTTAGAGAAAAGACCTGTTTATCTGAGTCCATACACTCAGGCCCTGAAAACTTTATGGAGCACAGATCTGCTGTGACACACACAGGGTCAGAATCTGTAGCATGGAATGCAGGGAACTTCATTTTCTTTAACTTCATTTCATAGAAGTACAAGATATCTGTTCCTGTTAATAAAATCTCATTTTGCTAGGAAAAGGTTTTCTATTTAAGAGTTTGACTTTACTGGTGATTTTGTTTTAAAAAGGGAAAAAGAAGGCAAGAAGTCCCACTTTTCACAAATAATGTGAATTGTTCCTCATGTACATCTGGCCTTGGCCCCAGCAGCCCCTCCACGTTGAGTAGAGATTGGAACACTTGCATAATGAACCTGAGGTTAGGCTCAGGATGACAAGAAAATTATAGTGCAGGAACCAAATATTTCTAATGCATATTTTATGTCCTTTGAAGTAAAAATTATATCTTATAATGAATGGTGTCTCTGAGGACTTGAGTTTGATGAGCAAATCATCAAAACTAGAGATTCAAAATTGGAAATGTAATGGTTTTCCTTTTCATGATGTTAAGTGTCTGACTTCTTACTGAAATAATTATATTCAAATATGCTTAAGGTAAAATAAATCAGGAGTCTTTTTTCTAAAGTGGCATTTATGAATTTCATAATGCAGGTAAATAGCTTATTCATCCCGTTGCTATCTCATTCCTTCCCTTGGTTCTTTCTATTTTTCTTATGTTTTTAGAACTGCTTTAATGTCTCCGCAAAGAACTTACAGCAGCAGTTGGAGATTCTTGAAGGAGACAGTATGACCTGTCGTGCCAAAGCTGAGAAATACGAGCAAGCTCTGTCCCACAACTTACAGTACTGCATTGCCAGAGATGAGACGAAAGAGGTGAGGCAAAGGTGTGTGTGTGTGTGTGTGTGTGTGTGTGTGAGAGAGAGAGAGAGAGAGAGTGTGTAGGGTGAAAACTGAGCTATTCTGACCCTGAAGCTTGTGCCTCAGGGTCAATGTCCTCTATCCACATGCATACAAAACACCCCATGGGTCAGGTTTCTTTCTTCTCTCTGTGTTCTGTAATCCCCTGAACAGCAGTTTCAGGCCTCAGGGAAGTTTGAATAACCATAAGGCTCCAACCCTGTTAAAGTCAATACTTGCCAATGTATAGAGAAACCTAGGATATAGTATTACGTTGGGAGTCTTTAGGGTACAAAGTTTTTGAGGTTTTCTTTTCTTTGTTCTTCACTCAAATCTTTGTAGCAACTCTTGTTTATGTGTATGCAGATTTTTTCAGCCCACAGAGGAGAGTAGGACACTGTTGCAGCCAGCTCCAGCCTGTGGGGATTCTATTTCAGTACTATTGACTCACTGTGAATGGGTGCTGAGGGCCAGGGGAGCAGGCTCTGCCTTCAGAGGCTTACAGGGTATTATCACCAAAGTCAAGTGGTTGGTTTCATATTTTCTCCAACTGAATAGCTGTTCTGGCAAAACAATTCTGAGAGAAAAATAACAGATGAAAATTGTCCTCCATGCCCATGCTCCACATATCCATAATTCCACCTCCTCTCTCTCTCTCTCTCTCTCTCTCTCTCTCTCTCTCTCTCTCTCTCTCTCTCTCTCCCTTCTCCCTCTTCCTCCACCCACTACACACTTGTTAAACCATAACCACACCTTCCCTTAATAAACTCTCTATTCAAAGGCTTATGTATTTTGGGTGAAAACCACACATCAGAATAGCAGAGGTCTTCCTTCTTGACCAGAAATAGAATCCAAAGATATCCATTAAAGATTTATCTCCATTTCTGCATCCATTAGTCATTCAGTCTATGAAGAAAAGGGATAGGGAAGAGACACTTGTAAACCTGCTAGAACTATCTATTTGTGCTGAGTTTATACAACCTAAGCCAAGCAAGGATGAATCTTTAAAGCATGGACTCAAGTATGAGTGAGCATAATGACATTTTAGTTATGGTCCAATTCTGAAGCATCCTTTCTTGTTCCTTCCCACGATTCGGTTTTAGGGACCATCAGTAGATGTAAGAAGGAAGACTAAAAGGAAAGAGAGGTAGAAAGCAAGATAGGCCACTGTCTCTTGGATTCTAATGAAATTTGAACAGAAGGAAAATAGAAACCAACAACTAACAAGGGTTTCTATCTTAGCAAATGTGCCACAGAACTGCAGTTTCTGTTCACAGGTTGTTTTTCTGAAGGGAGTCAACTTCAGACAGATTCATTAAACCATTCATGGCCCAACTCATATTTTAGTCTGCCCTGTGGATAGAAAACTGGACTTGTTAACTCTTCCATCACATTGCTTACACAACTAACACTCTCCACATACTAAGAATCTGTTAGGTCTATTAAAGAAAACAGTGGTTCTTTCCAAAGCTACAAAATTTGGGCATAGTAACTATAGATACAATTTTTGTTATGATCTTTCCCCAAAGCTACCCCCCCCCACTTCTCTCTCTCTCTCAAAACCACTGCCTTGTCAAAATCCCAATCTACTCAGTGATGGATCAGTTCTGTAAGTGGTGATACACAATTGGGACCGCCTTGAGATTGTTCCCAGCCCTTGGGGCCCGGTTTTCATCTCCTTGGAGAGCTGGTGGCTTTTATTAAGCCAAGTCTCCCAGTTCGGGTCCTGCCTGTTGTGATTCTATCTATGGTGTCCGCCTCGTGATGAGTCTGTGCTGGAAGCCAGCCTGCGGTATGACAGATGTCCTTTCCAGTCATAGTAGGGATGCCCTGAGATTGTCTGTTCCAGGAATGAGCAACTAGATACGCAGAGATTTGATTTAGGAATCAGATCACTTTACTATCCTCTTAAATATTATGAGAGGCATTCTTCCTACTAACTTCTGCTTCAGCTCTAACTAATCTTTGATGCAAGTTTCACATTGAAGGGCTCTCTGTAAATTTTTGATACTTTTCCTCTTCACATTCTTAAGACACTATAATAGGCATGCCACACCATTGTTAGTATAGGATCCACACCCGAGGCTTTCCAGCTCAAGGCAATATTAATGGGGACATGATCAAAAGACTTATTTTCAGTGAGATTTAGTAAATTAAAAATATGAGCCCTCTAAATTCTTTGGATACTTAAAACTAACATTAAAAGCAATGTATTACACTAGTTTTTACCCTATCAAAGTAAACAAGGAACTAGATCAAGCTCAATATATGAGTTTATCACATCATGTTTTGTCTCCAATGAGTTTCATGGGAAATAATTAGTTTGATTTGGGGATTATACTTGAAAAGATATTTTAGGGCAGATCTAGTCCACCACTTTCATATCTCAGATGAGAAAACTAAGTGATACATGAATTTCAATTGTGAAAAGTGAAAACATGTTTGACACTTGATAAACTCAGAGTACAACATTCATTTATTGTTCTCATCACAGCCAACAACTGCATGGTCTGATGTTAAATGTGGCCACCTTTTATGTTTTCATCTTCTATATGTATTTTTGAGTATATCTATTAGAAGCTATGTATGATCACCACATCAATCTACCTGGTTGAGGGTCTTCCTCTCTTTTGTCATCCCTCCACCTTCCCAAGCATGATGTCCCTCTTCAAGAAATAACGTCTCCTAACAATATGCTCAAAGTGAGATGCAGCTTATCCTCTTTGCCTCCAAGAAGCACTCTGCCTGCACCTCCAAGACATATCTCTCTTTCTATGGCAGCCCACGGGGTATTCAGACTCTTGTCTAACACCATAGTTCAAAGGCATCAATCAATTCTTCTTCTGTAATCCTTATTCATTGTCTACCTCTCAGCAGCATAGAAAGTGACTAAAAAGGTCATCGCCTGAATAAGGTACACCTTAGTCCTCAAATCACACCTTAATTATTAGGAGAGGCCCTTGACTGCAGACTTTCCCAGTGCAATATGTCTTCTGATCTCCTGCCTGCTGATACCAAGTGCATTGATTGTGGTTCCAAGTAAGATGAAGTCACCGACAGTTTCAAGTTGTAAGATGTAGGACATCTTAAAACCTCAGTTTCTCTACATCTGCATTTTGGAAACACAGCTTACAGACTGCTAATTTTGTGCAAATATTTTCTACCTATTTCACATGAAGATATATTTAAACACATGCATTTTAATATCACTACATATTTTCTTATCTGGCAAAGTAAACAAAGTGGTAAGATACAAATCATTATAAGTGTATTATCTGCCATAGTGAACGATAGAAGACCATCATTAGTTCCACATTCTTTAAACATCTACATGTATAAATGTATTAAGTTAATATCAATCCTATTTTTCTCACAAACTTACTAAAAATTGCCTTCACATCTACATGATATTTTTGAAAATTTAGCTCTAGAAATTTGTACCATAAGTCACAAACAATTACTTTCCTGAAGAAAAATAGTATGACAGAATTGGGTTAGAATTTTCACAAAGTAGATTTTACAAACAGAAGCATTCATATAATTGCAATGTATGGGCTATATCTTAACATAAAACAAAAATCCTTATAACTAGACCAATAAGTAACATCATGATAAATGGAAAAAAGATTTACACTAGCAAAGATTATCAACCATTTTCTTTTACTTGGATCACAATCAATATTCATGGTATAAACAGTCAAGGATGCAGACTTTGAATTCCATCAGGCAAATCTGCTGGCAAGGACATCTTTAAAGTGCTAAGGGGGAAAGATGCCACTTTAAAGATCAAGGTACACTTAACCCAAACAGGGACATTTTCAATTGTGTCACATGCATGTGAAAGCTAGAGAGGATGAGTAAGGAAGGAGTGATGCCTTTAAATTGTGGTGCTGTTAAAGAATATTGAAAGCACCATGGACTCCCAACAGAACAAACAAATCTGTGTGGGCAGAGGTACAGTATGCTCCTTAGAGCATGTGTCTCACATGTGGGGCAGCTGGATTCTACAAAGGTGTGTTTTCTGTTTTGGCTGAGGCTTAGATGGGACTGTTGCTCCCAATTGAGTGTGAGCTGATTGAATTGAGCCTTAAATTTAAAAAGGCATTTGGTTGCCAGTTTGAGGCTGCTTTAAAGTTTGGGAAGATGAGTGGAACAGCTGGATCAAAGGTGTTTTTTCTGTTTTGGCTAAGGCTTGGGTGGGACTGTTGCTCCCAATTGGGGGTGAGATGATTGGATATAGCCTCTTATTTAGAAAGGCATTTGAACCCCAGGGCCTGCAGCCTTCAGCCCTGGTTGGAACTGTTTTTCAGTCAAACATTCTTCTATGTAGTATAGGACTGTTCTGTCAATTTGTAGTACTTAAGGTAACTGTGGTTGCTGTAATGGCAAACACTGTGACACTGATGTGTCAAATGCAATAATGGTTGCCCATGGTGGACAGTGTTTGATGGAGCTCTCAAATTAAATCAAGCTTGGAAACAGGAGTGGCATCCACTTCCAAGATAACTTGCCTCCAGAAACTCTTTGAATGTAGAGAAACAATGAAATTTTTATGTGTTTAGGGCTTTTGTTCATAGGGTCGCTATGAGTCATCTATGACTTGATGGCACTTAACAGCAACAACAACTGTCTCACATACTTTAATCATGTTACAAGCATGGACCAGTCCCTGGAAAAGAACATCATCCTTAGAAATATAGAGAATTAAGTATTCTTCCCATTTTGGACACGGGGTACTGTAGCATGTAGCCCCTTCCTGATTTGCCTATGATTATAGAGTTGGAAAATGCTTATGTTTACATAGATGGAAAAGCCTGAACTTGTACAGCATTTTAAACTATAGACCTGGACCAGAATCCTAAACTATACCTTTTCTTCTTAGCAATAAGTCATTCCATCTAGTTTTGAATTCATGTTAGTTTTGCTATATGTAAGTTATCCTAGTAGTTATCTACTAAAGGGAAAAATATGCACAC